CTCGAAAGGATCGTACGGAATGCATCCCAAAGAATATCTCCGATTTCGTCCAAACGGTGCTCGAACATATGAAGTGCATCGACAATAACAATATATTTCAATTGAAAGCCCAATTTGATTAATTCTTTTAAGTGTTCAATTACTATAGAAACGGTGGGACAATTTAATCCGAGGCAGGAGTTGGTGGGAAGAGGATAAGAAGCACCCCCATTTTGAAGTTTTCACAGATAAACATTTGGAGGCTAAGCTATTAAAATCATAAGAAATTTGATTTTTAGTAAATGATGATTAAAAAAATACTACGCCACAGTAAACATTTCCAATAATATTTTTAAATATTGAGTCGAATTAATTAATAAAACGATGTACTATTCAAATTTTACTACTAAAAAATTTTAAAATTATAAAATAATAATTTGCTATTATAAAATATATAAATTTTATTATTAAAAAAGTATTTTTTATATTTATTATTTATTTTTAAAAAATATTTTCTGGGATATACTCCCCATTCTTTTTTTTTTAATGTAACACTCATCAAACTTTCATTATGAACGATTTTGTTTATGGAGTTATATTTTCTTGCCATATTTAAGGTTACAAGACTTTGAAGAAGCGATAAGTTAAGTTAGTGTAAAAAGATTGTATCATCTTATGAATAATAGTAATTGACAATAGCACCGATTATTAATAAGGAGCGTGTAAATAAATCCCGATTGTAGTATTTTTTTTTTTTTTGATTGATAGTTATTTGATAAAGATTTTCATTTGCGTATTATGTAGAATAAAGTAAAAATTTGTTTATATAATTAATAATATGAAATATTGTCATATGATAATTCTAAATAAACAATGTTAAGTTAACTAACGATTCAAGTAATGACCCCGATTTAAAAATCTTTAAAACAATTTTATCACGTGGAAATTTCCACACATTACTGATTCATACACTTTTTTTTTTTATTAAGATAGCATCCTTTATGTAATTCGGTATTTGTAGAAGTAAAGGTACCATAGTTAATTAATATCAGCACTGATTCCAGATCCTTCTCCTTGCACATCAGAAAGAATCTTCAAAATAATATAAGTAAAAACGTCACGCGATTATTTAAAAATTTCATGTTACTTAAATGACCGAATATAGTTACTAATATATTTTGTTTAAACAAAAATATTTCTTATATGTATATTGATAATTTTTTTTCGTATGTTAGATCTAAAGTAAGAAATTTAATGATAGATAGGGAAATTGTTGGATTATTTTACCATAAAATATGATATCTGATAAAAAAAGTTTAAAAACCGAATCGGCAAAGAACTCCGTAAATAAATAAATAGTTTGAACTTTAAAAGGATCAATAGAATTCAGCCAATGTTGTGAACATAATAATGATTGATAAAGGTTGTTTGTCATATCATCTATATGTACTTAACATTAATAAATAAATATTTTCTAACTAAAGCATATATTAATAAATTATTTAATAGGCGATAACGGGTATCTACTTTCTAATTTAAGGATCAAATCAATAAAAATTCACGGAAACAACATTTGTAAAAGAATCCTTTATTGGAATATTATAAAAGAATGTGCAGAAAGAAACGCTTCGTTCAATAAAAACAATTAGAAATGGTTGTTTGATAATCAAATTCATGTGTTAGCGAAAAAAAAAAACAAAGCTTGTGTAAATACGAAAATATTTTTTTTTTGTTTTAATATTCCTCGGAACACTTGTTATTGTCACACAATCAATTTGTGACACACATTTAAAGACATGTCATACAGGGTATAATGTTTTTTAATTATAAGGAAACTACATCATGAGCGGGCTGATAAATTATAAAATAAATATTACAATATTAACTAAATAAAAATTTTTTATATCTTGATTCATTATCAAATTGTGCCACAAACTCATTATCAATATATCCATATCAAGTTACTCAAAATCTGGAATAACAATATAAATACGTTGATGTTTTTATTACCTATAATATAGTGTACATAAACACTTTCCAAATAATAATATTATATACGAAAATGCTTCAAAGAAGACAAAACCAACGAAGACAACAACACTTTATTAGAATAAATAGAGTAATAATATATCAAAGTAATTCCCAAAGACGTGTTCAACCTATTAATAACCAAGATATGTTGAGTCGAATTGCAATCCTTCCTCAGCAAACTATGGATAACAACCCTATGTTGGAGCAATTTTTTAATGGGTTTTCTTTCCCTTAAATTTAGGTAATTAAAATATATTTCTAGTAAGAAGAGTTTATATAAATAAAGATTATTAATCGAGACGCGTTTACATTAATATTATATATTACCTATAAAACTTTTAGCTTGGCTCAAATTTTTATTTTATTATTTAAAGTTTTTTTATTCTTATTTATTCTTCAAGCATAAAATGTTTCAAAGTTCTTTCAAAATTTATTATAAGTGTAAATATATTACACACGATCAAATCAATACTTTTTGTTTGGCTTTAAGTTAGTACATTAAAACGTCGGATTTGATTTATTTATACTTAAAATAAACATATTTATAAAACAAATGGGTTGACCTAAAACTTTGATCACAAAATATAAATGAATTTATTATTTGTTACGATTAATAAATTTATTATAACGCTTAAAACATATGATGTAGCATGTCAAATGTCTTTGTCCTGAGCGAAGCAA